AGCCTCGTCCTTCTCTGTTGGCTTCTCACCCAGGTCCACTTTGCAGAGCCAGGACCTCACCAAACAACTCAGCCATTTACCCAAGAGCAGAGCAGTTCAGCAGAGCGTGTGTTATAACAGGAATGCAAAATCCCCTTGCCAAGAGGTGCAGCCTGTCATGTCTGCTTTTCTGGAAATCCAGTTTAAAACAAAAAACAAACAAAACCTAGTTTTATTAATAACCAGACCCACAGAATTACCGCTGTTACTACAGGGTAGCAGTAAACTGCTGGTATTTGCTATTTTGCTGACTTACATACATATCTTTCTCCCTGGGGTGGGGAGCCGATGAGAAACCTAGACATGTTCTAGACCTAGGATTGTTTATAGACAAAGGGTGGTATGTCTGGATGCAGGGATGCTGAGCTGGCAGCAGACGGCTGAAAGCTAGCAACTGGGCCTCTGGAGGCAAAGGCTTCTTTTTCTTCTCCACCAGGCAATGCCCTCCATGGTTTGCTTGAAGCCTCCCAAATGATTGGTTCCTTTCTGCTGAAGTCACAAGACAGGACAAGAGATAAGATAAAACACTTTGAAAAGAGGCCACTAAGTTTTCATCAGCTAGTGCGTGTGGGTGTGCCTGCGTGTGTGTGTGTGTGTGTGTGTGTGTGTGTGTGTGTGTGTGTGGTCTCGGAAACTTCCCTGTGTGATCTGCTTTTTTTCTTTTTTCTTTTTTTTTGGAATTAGAGTACAGTTTTACCGATATTAAATGGACGAAGTTCGTTTGACTTTTTCCCTTAAACCTCTTTTGTGTTGAAACTTACACATTTTCAACTAAGTGAGCATTCCCATTGCACCTCATGTTCCACGATAAACCCGAGTGTCAGCTCTCACAAGTAAATGTCTTGCATTCTTACAGAGATCTAGGTCATTTCCAGTTTTCCCATACTTTCTCTTATAATACTCCTAACCACCCTGTAACACAGGGAGAAACTGATAGATGATGGGAGATTTGAGTCTTTTAATGTTTAAGGTTTATTCTAGTTTTGTTTCAATTATGCTACTTGTAACAGCTGCTGAGTACATGCCACTGTCAGGTTCTAGCTGACTCACACCTCCTAATTAAGATGTAACTCTCATGTTCCTGTTGATATATTTATCATTACCTCTAATTCTGGCAGTATATTGTAGATTATTTGTTGTAGTTAAGCTGACTATTGCTATGATGAAACACCACGGCCAAAAGCAACTTGGGGAGGAAAGGATTTATTGGGTTTACACATCCTGAATCACAGTCCTTTGAGGGACGCCAAGGTAGGAACTCAAACCAGGCAGGAATCTGGAGGCAGGAGCTGACGCAGAGGCCGTGGAGTAGTGCTGCTTACTGGCTTGCTTTTTTGAGACAGGGTTTCTCTGTGTAGCTTTGGAGCCTATCGCTCTGGAGACCAGGCTGGCCTTGAACTCACAGGGATCCACCTGCCTCTGCCTCCTGAGTGCTGGGATTAAAGGCGTGTGACACCAATGCCCGGCTGCTCAGCCTGCTTTTTTATAGAAGCCAGGACCTCCATGCAGGGTTGATTCCACCCACAATGGGCTGAGACCTCTCCCATTAAACACTACTTTAAAAAATGTGCTCTGTGCTTGCCTACAGCTTGATATCATGGAGGCATTTTTCTCAATTGAGAGTCTCTCTTGCTAACGATTCTAGCTTGTGTCAAATTGACAGAAACTAACCAAGACATTAATGCTACTGAATTTCCCTCAAGCATGAGTCGCAATGGCTAATAAGGATATTCTGACTATTTACTTCTGACTCATAAGAGAGAATGACAACCTTGTAACGTGAGGTGCTTGCTTCTGTTAGTGCCTGTGTGTTGGCTCTCGCTGTCCCCAGTAGAAGCTGCTTCTCCACATTGTTTTCAGCCAGAGTTAATGATAAGTGGGAACCGGGTGGTTTCTGTGCTTGAAGATGCCAAGTAGTTGTGGCTGGAATGATGAGGTCAATGCCCAGAGTCAGCAGCAGGAAGTGGAGTCACATTTCCAAGCCGGCTGACTCAGGTGCCCTTGCCGGTGGCCTTTCCTGGTCGGTGTTGACTTGTCCGTCCTCTGCGGAGTGTAAGACTGAATCTGAGTGTCAGGGTCACACAAGGGTTTCACCAACCATTTTGTTTCTGACACATCGCAACTCTGTCATTCTGGATTCAGTGATGGATTTGTTTTCTGTTAAAATCCAGCGGTGGTACAGTCTGCCTTCGGCTGTTTAGGGGTTATTTGAAGGTGCTCTATGTGGGTTAGAGCAGGGTCTGTGGTCCCCAACAGCCTGTCATACTCACTTGTCAAACATTTGCAAGGGCTCTACATTCCCCAGGCTGCAACGATACATAGCCCTCATCCAGCGTACCTGCAATTTTATGACTGAAAGTGTGCACTTTGTTAAAAAGCATTTTTCCTATGTCCTAGCCCACTAGAGGGCAGCACACTCACACATACTTCACAGGAAGAGACAGCAGGAATTGCCTGTTTTTGATGAAACAATAATGCACTTTTGGGTGGATGTGTTGGAGATACTGTTGTATTTCTGTTGTGAAAAATGTAGTATATTCCATAGAGCCCCCTGCCTGGAAGTGAGCAATAGTACAGACAGTACCAAATGGCAGACGATGGCAAAAGTGATTTATTTATTTCATGTTCATGGAGAAGTCTTGATTTGCATTTTCTTCGTACGTAGTAAATTAGGAATTTCTAGAATCCCTTTTGTAATCTGAAAAGTATTCCTTAATATTGATGCTTCATGTTTTTGTTTAATGGAATTTATTCCAATTGAAATGGAATTTGACCATCCTGTAAACTCAGAACACCTTAGACCTTAAACTGAAATGGAACCATCAAGAGATGAGAGGACCATTATCAGTGGCCAGTCCCATAGCATCTTGTCCTTTCCCTGCAGACACGTTTTCCCTCAGGCGTCTTCATGAGGTATGGTCAGCAGAGCTGGGCCAAAGGAATCCCTTTAGCCAGTTATCCCCTTTCCTCTCCAAGAATGTGGGAGCCACAGGTCATAAAATAACACCATGTTTATAGAGTCTTCTACAAGGAAGGTCATCAGCAATGCCGAGTCACTAATCCAGCTTCTAAATTAACCTACCAGATAAGAATAACCTGCTCAAGCCTGTGCCTCCCAAGCACTAGTAACACATACTTTTCTTGAAATTACAGGGTTTCAGCTTGATGCCCAGGTACCCTTTGTGGAAAGTTTGCAACACTGTTAAGTATTTATGGCAAATAGACTTCCTATGGAGTTGTTGGTACACTCAGGACTGAGTGGAGCTTATGAATATAGAATTTAGTTAATATTTAAGAATTCAGAACAGGGATGGTAGCTTTTCTATTAAGGCATTTGATAGTCAATATTTCAGGCTTTTTCAGGCAATGCAGGATTTCCTACAAATTCTTCATTTTGTTGTTTGTATTTACTCTTTGTATTTAATAGCCATCTTAGATGGAAAACTATAAAACAAGATCCTGAGCTTATCAGGGTATTTGATGACCTTGGTACAGGAAGGTAGTGATAGTGGTGTGTAAAATGATGACTCTAGAATTTTGTTAGCCCATAGCACCATGGGAAACAAAAGCAGGATAGTTTCATCTGCATAGAGTGGGCCTTGCCATGCTCTGGTGGTGCATGGAACTCATTGGGGGTGCTGGGTGCACAGAACCTCCCCTTGGCGCCTCTCCATTGCTTCTTCAAGTTAGGCACACTTGACTTTTGTCTCCTAGTGTTCATCACACACTCAGACCATGAAGGGACCTTTTTTTCAGTATGTCTACCACACTGAAATAATACAAATAATACAATAAGCCAGAAAATCACTAGTTTAATCCTAGCTCCTTTACCAAATAAATAGAGTTTCTTGGACATCAGTTATTCTCTATAACTATCAATGTCTTTGTAAAATGAGATTGAGTCAGTATCATATACATATATGTGTATATATGTATACACACACATGTAAATGGAATGGATTTGGTAATTTCAGATTTATGTTTCCATGCACCTTTTTCTAGTGTTTGAAGATTTAGTTGATTTTCAAGCATACACCTCCTACTCGAGTCAAAGGATACTGCAGAATTGCTGTTCATATCCAGAACAGAGGTTAGCCAGGAATTACTGAATGAGTGAATTAATTACAATTGAGCACTTAGCAATTTTAAACTCACCCCCTACTGTTGTGTTTTAGAAATGCATGCTATTTCTTATATAATTGATCTATCCAGTACATTTTTTATAGTTATGTTATAAAAATATCCACTGAGTATCAGTACTATGATCAGTCCTGTAATGACTGATTTAGAAACAGATAAAATACAGTTCTAGTTCTTGCCTATAAGGAGTTTACTTTCTACTTGTGGTGTATAGTGGTAATCTGGCCATTTTATTCTGCATCTAAGTACAGAATTAGATAGCTGAGTCTCCAAACTAGACAATGCCCTTCTATTCCCTATCCCCCACCAATAGAGGTGTTACCCCATTGGCGCTCTGGGGAGTGTCCTCCAGAAGAACACAGATATGTTAGGTTCTTGTTTGAATCTTTTTTTTTTCAGCATCTGTTTCTCTGAATCCTCACTGGGTCTTCATGATACTTTTCTTCCTTTTCTGGGCTTGATGCTCTGTCCCATGTCTTCCCCTCTGTCTGCATCCATGCATCCTCTAAGACAACAGCATAGTTCTACTCTCAGTGCAGTCCCTGGAGCACAGGAAAGAGATTGCTGCCGTTTTGGACATGAGCAAGTTTCACATGTCAATGTTCCCACTCAATTTTTCTTGGAAAATCAGTCTGTTGCTGTTCCTGATCAGCCAGAAACAAACCATTTACTTTTTCATTTTTTCAATTATTATTATTATCTATCATTATTCCTTTGTTTTTCTTTCTTTTCGTCATTTAATTACCTAATTGCTTCTAATGTAATATTTTCTGTGGCTGTAACTTTTGTAACAATTATTCATTAATTTTCTATTACGATAGCTGTGGAAATCCAAAGGACTCTGAATCAACTTGGAACACCTCAGGATTCACCAGAACTGAGGCAACAGCTGTGAGTTTTGCTTTTTTGGTTTCTTTTCTTGTTGTTTGTTTGTTTGTTTGTTTGTTTGTGGTTTTTGGAATCAGGGTTTCTCTGTGTAACTGCCCTGGTTGTTCTAGAACTCGCTCTGTAGACCAGGATGGCTTCAAACTCACAGAGATCTGCCTGGCTCTGACTTCTAAGTGCTGGGATGCTGGGATTAAAGACCTGTGCACCAGCCACCCAGCTTTTTTTTTTTTAAGTATTTTTTTTAAGATTTATTTCTTTATTGTGTATATACTATTCTGTCTGTATGTATGCTTGCAGGCCAGAAGAAGGCCCCAGATCTCATTACAGATGGTTGTGAGCCACTATGTGGTTGCTGGGAATTGAACTCAGGACCTCTGGAAGAGCAGCCAGTGCTCTTAACCTCTGAGCCAACAGCCCTCAACTTTTTTTTTTTTCAGACAGAAACAAGAGAAAACCATTTTATTTACTTATTTTTATTTTTGGTTTCTCGAGACAGGGTTTCTCTGTGTAGTTTGGAGCCTATCTTAGCACTGGCTCTGGAGACCACGCTGGCCTCGAACTCACGGAGATCTGCCTGCCTCTGCCTCCCGAGTACTGGGATTAAAGGCATGCGCCACCAACGCCCAGCAGAGAAAACCATTTCTATGATGCTTTTATAGTAGGATTTTATTGGAGAAAAGGCAAGAGGATTGCTGAGAATGTAAAGCCATCCTGAGCTACAGAGTAAGTTCCAGATCATCTTGGGCTACACAGTGAAACTCTGTCAAAACTTCCAAATACACACACATACACATGCACACCACACACACACACACACACACACACACACACACACACACTACATATGTATCAGTAAATATGCCAGTAGAGGAACAGTAATAGTACTTTGTGTGTTTTATAGATTTCATAGTGTTTGTCATCTTTTCTCACCTGAACTTTGTAAAATTTGAGTGATGCTCACACACAGAACCATTTCTAATTGCTCATAAGGGAAATTTCTCTTTTAGGGCCTTGATGATCTGCCCAATACTATTCAGAACCTTTTGAGTTCTCAGCACTTTAACTAGCTACAGATTACAAGTGATACACCCCCCCCCACACACACATATATATACACACACACAGAGACACAGACACACATATGCACACAGACTCACAAACACACACATGCACAAACACACATACACATATATATGTACACACAAACATACATGCACACACATAGCATTATCTCCATATAACAATTAGCTAGAATACAAGTACAAAGAAGATATGGAAAGATACAGAATATAAACTCATGTTTTTAAGAAGTTTGAAGTATTTGTAGTTGTCTGTAGTTCATATTTTTTCTCTACAATAAGTGTTGGGGTGAATCATAGCTAATACACAAACATTCATTGAAATTCAATTCAATGGAAGTTCATACTAAATAGACACATTAGTTTTGGGGCACGAACAGTGGAAATTTTGAATCCATAGACATGATCATGCATTTTGAGAACTTTGACTATCCTGTTCCAGAAACTTAGAGAAGCACGTCCAAGCAAGGGCATTTGGTGTCTAGAACTGTGAGCTGGTTATTTTTCTTCTTCACTAGCTCTATACAGGCATCTGCATCTGAGCATCTTTTTATTGTGAGCCTCACTGGCAGTTCATGTGTAACATAAGGGATGTACAAGGGAGGCCTTGGTGTCTTTTCTAAGCATCCCTTTAATGCAAGATTATATTGTTGAGTATCAAGGTTTTTCATTAAAATTCATACTCTTTTTATAAGATATCTAGGAAAATACAGGTATAGGTATAATTTAGTTCCCCCATTTTTTTGTATTCAGGTCTATTTATAAGGAAGCTCTGTTAGATTTTCCACAGCAAGTTTAATAACTAGTAAATTTGTACTGTCACTACTTCTCCTCCATCTTTGTGTTTGTGGAACATAAGTATTCACATAAAGAAATAAGACATACAAGATGTACCTCACACCTGGGCACTGGACAAAAACAAATAGTCTTTCTTTCTCAGATGACGTCCTAGGGGAGACACAGATAAGAGCTATAGACATTTTCAGTCTCTCAAATATAAAGGACCAGACCGCCATCACTGTCCTGACTACATGCCCTTCTCACTGAAGTCATTTTCATCTGTAGCTATTGATCTATACTTATAGGTAATCACAATTCATGTTTCTCCAAGAGTGGTTATTTTAGGTAATGAAGACCCTTCTATGTCATAGTTCTTAGTATTTATCAGAAAAACAGAACCTAAAGATTTGGTTTGGCAGAAGAAATTGACCACATGTTCAGAAAACTGAGTACTTTCACTGTTTATAGTTTGTTACTATAAATACCCAGACAAAAAGACTAGTTCTTCTACAACCATTTACTAAGGTTGACACAAGTGGTGGAGTTTTTCTTTGACAATAATGTATTTGTGCCTTCTGTTTCTCTTTTTGTTTTTTCTTTTCACTTTAGGCAGCAGAAGCAGCAATATACTAACCAACTTGCGAAAGAAACAGATAAGTACATTAAAGAGTTTGGATCACTGCCCACCACCCCCAGTGAACAGGTACCAGGCTTTCCAATGCATGCTTTGATGTACTGAATGTAAAAGAAATTAAATGCATGGCCAGATCTTTGAGTGGCGATGCTACAAAGGAAGTTAGGCAACCAAAAACATTGAATTTGAGATTAGTTACCAGAACTCAGAACCGTATTTAGTTGTTCAGGTAGTATCATGTGGTCGCACAAAGCAGAAATTATTTCCATGTAGTTGCCCTGACCCATAATTAAGTACGTGCTGAGAAAATGCCTCCTGGTGTAATTGCATCCTGGCTTTGCAGGGCTATTGCCCCCACACCCACACCCACACCCACATGCACATACTCAAGACAAATGCCTCCTGGTGTAATTGCATCCTGGCTTTGCAGGGCTATTGCCCCCCCCACACACACCCACACCCACATGCACATACTCAAGATGTGCCTAGGGGCACAAGTTAGCTTCTTGCTTGCTTAGTGTATAGGTTTTATTTGCCTAAAAGGAGGATTACCTAAATTTCTCCTTAAGACCATGACCCACTTATCAGCCACTACTAAAGTCTAAGGTGAGAAATCCTGCACAGTGGGCCATTTGCCTCAAGATAAAAGCGCAAGGGTTCGAACCCATTATAAAGGTTCCTGAGAGTTCATCTGATGGTTTCTGTAACTGGGGACTGAGTGGCGATTTTAGAATTAAAGAAAGAGCCAAAGAATTGGAAGCAACTACTGCAGATGTGGTGAGCTTCTCAGTTTGAGTCAGTCTCTCCCTTTCCTCTAGCGTCAAAGAAAGATACAGAAGGACCGATTAGTGGCAGAATTCACAACATCACTGACAAACTTTCAGAAGACCCAGAGGCAAGCTGCTGAGAGAGAGAAAGAGTTTGTTGCTCGAGTGAGAGCCAGCTCCAGGGTATCGGTGAGTATTGTGAGTGGCATTGACATCGTCCTAATGTATAAAGTTGAGATCTGTGACACTCTTAAATCTGTGACCATTTAAGGGGATCTCACCCCAGGTTTTAAGAAAACTCATGTTGTGTATTGTTGTAGTTACTCCTTGTGGAGCAATAGCAAAGTACAGACTCCATAAAAACAGAAAAACCTGTCTTGTCAAAGGTTAAAGGTCAAGTCCAGGTGGCCTTTTCATTGCAAGTCGGTTTGAGGCTTGGTGCTTGGGTTTGTGCCAGGGTTTGGTGATGAACTCAGGGCATGTGCCAAGGGATTCGGAAAGTGAATATGAGCCTGGAAAGGATAAAGTAAACTTTTGTGTTAGTCTAGTTTTTAATTCTTACAGGATCCACCATTAGCTGATATTTCACTCACAATGACAGTAAAATTATATTTATTATTTGGTCCTTGTAATAGTGAATTCCATCCTCATCAGTTTAAGTTATTATTTTGTCACTACTTAAGCAGTTAGTTGACCTAGAAAATTAGAACAAGAACTTATCCTTTCCTGCTGCCATTGCAGCTGCACACACCCATATGTATGCATACACATACACACACACTCACACGCATGCACACACACATGAACACACACCCACCCAAAATACAGATCCACCATCTTAAGGGGACATTTGTGTGTTGTTTGCTTTTCCTTATTCTTGCTTTCTTTCTGTCTTTTAACTAAAATTTTCAGGGTGGTTTTCCTGAAGACAGCTTGAAAGAAAAGAATCTTGTGTCCTGGGAAAGGTAAGAATAAAAAGAAACAGTTTGTAAATCAAAAGATAATTTTTCAAGTTTCATCTATTATACTTCTTGAAGCAGAACTCATGAAAGCTTGTGTTATATTATTGCATAAACAGCTTATTATTTGTAGAGAAATAATAAATTTGGGAAAATTAAATATTTATAAACTATTTTAAATGCAATATGTAAATAGATCACCCAAATAAACTTATTTATTTAATTTTAAGAATAAAATATTTATATGTGAAATTGGCAAGTATAATTTTTAATACTTAAGTGAACTTGAATCTATATATGATGAAATCATGAGTATAATGAAAATGAGATAAAGTTTGGATAAAATAAATATTTATACTTAGAAGTTTTTATTTGTTTATTGAGGTTTTTTGGAGGCAAGATCTCACTGTTTTGTCCAGGCTAGCCGGGGATTCACCGTGTAGCCAAGACTAACTAATTCCAGATCTTTCTGCCTCAGCTGGGATTACAGGCATGTACCACTATGCCTAACCTATTTTAGCACTTTTTAAAATGAGCAATATTCTGGTCTTGAGGATCAAAATGTCCCATGTAGTGGATAAGACATCTTCCTTCTGTATTTATTTTTATAGCCAAACACAGCCTCAAGTGCAGGTCCAAGATGAAGAAATTACAGAAGATGACCTACGCCTTATTCATGAGAGAGAGTCTTCAATCAGGCAGCTGGAAGTAAGCCTTACAGGCATGCCCCACTGCTGCCCTGTTCTTTGAGCATGTTCACAGAACTGGATAATGCCGGGGAAGAAAACTCTAAGAACATCTGTCAGTTTGGTGAAATTTCTAGTTGTAGAATTTGGAATAATTCCTGTGTAAGCAATGATGCTGTTGGTGGTAGGGGGAGAGGTCGTATTCCATCCACAGTGTTAAATCATCCACAGTTCTTTCAGTGTTGAGAAAACACCATTCTAGAAATACTCATCTGTCCAGGGAGTCTGGGGAACTGACATCCTTCAGCCCGAACACACCATCCCGCCATGAGTAAGACTTTTACAACAGCATTAAAAGAACTGTGCTGCTTTTTTTGGGTGTCTCTTGTATTACAGAGATGAAGGATTTCTTAAGTTGTAGTTCTTGTGGAACCAATCTGGCCCCTAAAAAGTGGGCTAATAATAGTTACCAGTAGCTACAGTTCACTCAAGGTCTTCCATGTGCCAAAGCACTGGGATAACTATTAATTTTCTCATTCTGTCTTCCTAAAAGCTACTTACACTTGCTAACTATGACACTTTACAGATAGGGAAACTAAAGCCACGATAGGTGTGCAAACTTCCTTACACAGTTAAATGAAGTCTTTAATCGGTGAAAAAGAAATAGGTATATAATTAAGAAAAGTAAAGCTGTAATTTCTTTTGCCAATAAATTTATAATTTGTTTACCCACTAATGACATTTAAAATTTCACTATAGTCTGTTGGGTATTCAAATTTGTTAATGTAGGGTTTTACACTTATACATAATGTCTTATTCATTGAAATTGTCAAACTGATGACAAACTGGTGAATTTTTTATTGAAATATAATAATATCCATATTCTTTAAGAAAATATATCCTGTGACAAGAAAACAGGTTGGCCTTAGTGCCCCATGGCCTTGCTCCATTATCAGTCCCCAATTTCCATCTTGTTCACTTAATAAAGCAACTGTCACAGGTTTACTCTCGACAACGAGTAGCCATCTGGGAGCTCTTTTGTTAGGATTGCTTATAGTAGTATATTTTTCCAATGTTCTCCAAAATTATATATTACTTCTAATTGCATGCTTATATATGTATGAGTGGGGATAAATGTGTTCCTTTCTTTTTCTTTTGAATTTCCTCATTTGTGGGAGTGGGGAACTGAATTTCTAATAATGTATAATGTGTGCTTTTTTGGTCCTAGGCTGATATTTTGGACATTAATGAAATCTTTAAAGACTTGGGAATGATGATTCATGAGCAAGGAGATGTGATTGGTAAGTCCTGCTGGTGTGTTCTGGGCAGTAGGAGCAAGTTTCCTGCAGTTTACCTGCAGCAGCTCTTTCAAGCAAGAAACCACTTCCTTTCTGTTTCATTGGGATCCTCTGAAATCAAAGGCATAGCGTCTACAGTTTGCTGTGAAGGCCTGTGGGTCCTGGGTGGGGACTACACTTCACGGCAGTTAGGTTAATGAAAACAGAATACAATTATCAAATTCTTACTGTGAAGTTGTCCACTGTCCCATGCAAAGTAGGTAGAGCACTGTGTTTATGTGAATCATTTGAAGTGTGTTGTATTTAACAGAATCAAATACAAAGCCGAGGAACACTAAGAACTAACAGGGTAGTTTGAGTAAATAAACGTACAAAGGACTGGATGTGTTTGGACCCCTCCTTGGTCCTGAGGAGAGTGTTCTTTGAGAAGTGTTCTTTGAGGTAGACTTTTTCTATGTGATGTCGAATGTCTTTGGGCCTAGGGAGAAGAGGGTTGATGTGTTTTGCACATTGGTCTTGAGGCAGTGCAAGCTCTGGGGTTAGAAACTGACAGGAGCTTGTGCTGACACTGATCTGACATTTGCAAATTGACAGCACTTTTGTTGTGTCCAGTAGATGTAGATATGATTAAGGCCATTTGCTTATGCATTTGTATATTATCTGGATTGCGTGTTTTCCTTACATGTCTGCTGAATGAATTTTGGTGGTTTATAATTGGCTCATCAGTTCATGTTTAACAATTCTATGTGTATGTGCATTTTATTTTAAAGACAGCATAGAAGCCAATGTAGAAAGTGCAGAGGTACACGTTCAACAGGCGAACCAGCAGCTGTCAAGAGCAGCAGATTATCAGGTAACATTAACTGTAATCCGTTTTCTTTTAATTTAGAGTTTTGACTTGAAGTGGTTGCATAGGCTGACTTTAGAATTCTGTGGGAGGGGAGGATCAGAAGCATGCCAGTCAATTTAAAATTGGTTTGGGCATGTGTATTCTCATATTAATCTACAGAGATAGGAAATCATGAAGCTTGCAAGAGACTACTACTCCACACTTTTCCTGTTGTGGGAAGCAAGCATCACAGATGGCAGGAAAACCATCCAGGTGAGGTACAAATAAAACTTGGGTCAGCACAGCTTAGCCGGTGCTGGATCAAAAACTTCTGGAGTCTGATATTCCAGAAGTTTTCACGTACTTAAACACAGTAAAACTTTGGAAAAAAAATTTCCATGTGGGAACACCAAAGCTTCAGGCATGGCTACATCAAAGTACATCTCTTTAGCAAAGCACCTGTGACCTTCACACAAGAATGAGTTCTATTGACTGGGAAGCAGTGCTCAGGAGTCTGGGCATAGGGAGGAAGGGTTTTTTTTTCTTTTCATTATTATTATTATTATTATTATTATTATTATTATTATTATTATTAATTCAAGTTAGGGAACAGGCTTGTTTCACATGTACTCCCCCTCTCCCTCCCCCTCCCCATCCCCCCCCCCCCATTCCTTCTCCCCCACTTCCAACCAACCCCCCACCCCATCCACCCACCACTCCCCATCCCAGGAGTGCAGGGGCCTCCCCATTGGCATCCATGATCAGGGGGCTGGATCAGTCCCGTACTGGCCTCCCAAAGAGCGTCTGGGGTTGAGGGAGGAAGGGTTTGTGATACACATAAAGATGGGTTCTATTGACTGACAGACGTTGCTCAGAATTCTGGATGATTCGATGAGGGCCGGCTTTGCAGAATAGCAAAGATGACCAACTATTGACATATCCATTCCCATCTTTCCGGAGGGAAAACAGTGTCAGTTTCTTCCATCGAAGGAAAAAAAATATGTGAATTTAACAATTGAGGTTTTTCTAGTGCTGTCTGTAAACTGTGCTCCCTCTGTCCCATGGTGGTCTCTGGTGGGACAGTGATAGCCCGACATACGGAGAGACCTGTTTGGTAGCCTTTCGAAAGCCCTCGTTTCCCATCCTCCCCTTTTTCTTTTTCTTTTTCTTTTTGATTTTTTTTGTTTGTTTTTATTTTTGAGACTGTTTCTTTATGTAGCCCTGGCTATCCTGGAACTTGCTCTGTAGACCTGCAAATACTTCTCCGACCTCCACACTTGTACCATGACACATGTAACCCTACCAATCAATCAATCAGTTTACCAATCAATCTGCTTCTCTCTCTCTTTTTTTTTTTAAGATTTTTTTATTCATGTGTACAGTATTCTGTCTGCATGTATGCCTCCAGGCCAGAAGAGGGCACCAGATCTCATTACGGATGGTTGTGAGCCACCATGTGGTTTCTGGGAATTGAACTCAGGACCTCTGGAAGAGCAGTCAGTGCTCTTAACCTCTGAGCCATCTCTCCAGCCCCTTATTTTTGATTTTTAAGACAGTTTCTCTATGTAGCCCTGGCTGTCCTGAAACTCACTGTGTAGACCAGGCTGACCTTGAACTCAGAGATCCACCTGCTTCTGCATCCCAAATGCTGGCATTAAAGGTGTGTGCCCCCACTGCCCTACTCACCGCTTTTCTTTCTTATCAGTGGTACTCCAGCCTGAAGTGACAAAGGACCTTGTACTAGGGAGGTCTCTTCAAAGTTTCTGGAAACTGTATTAGCTGGGAGTGTCATTAATCATTACATACTATGTCATCATGTGGTAGAGACCTTACAATAGATATAAATCTATTTCTCCAGGGAATCAATCTCGTGAACATGCAGAGTCCATATGTATCTATGAAATGCAACTCATGCTTCAGATACTAGACAGATGTCATGGCTGTCAACTGTTAATGACGCATGTGCTGTAGAGGTTTTTAAGAAGAAAAATCGCAAGCCCAAATACGAGGGCTGCAAACTGACTGAAGTGAACTTGAGTTGCTTTCAGCTGCTGTGGAGTCACCTCACTGAATGTGCCACTCTATCTTGTTCTTGCTTCTGCAGCGCAAATCCAGAAAAACCCTCTGCATCATCGTTCTTGTCCTCGTCGTTGGACTTGTGATTATCTGTCTCATCGTATGGGGACTGAAAGGCTGAGTGGTGAGAGTGGACCGCTGCACGACGTCGTCTGGGTTCTGTAGGCAGATTCTCGAGGTCACTTTCTATTGTTATTTTAAAGGCAGTGGTGTAAAGGATGGTCCCATACTTTGTCATTTTTATTGGGGGAAGGAGGTTCTTTTGAATTCGATCTGATATTTTCTAATACTGAAGGTTTTTCTAAATACCATTGCTGGTATAATGTCCATGCTGTTTAGTTCAATGACTGTGGGGTTTTGCTCACATTGTATATGACTTTCATTTATAATTTATTTATATTGTTTGACTGAGTTTGGGGAATTATTTGAATGATGTGTGTATACCGCTTACACCTCTCTCACTGTGTAACATGAACCCAGACTATGCTATCTTATTTTTAAAACTTCAAGTTTAAATTTGATTTGTCCAGTGAGTATTCTCAAAAAAAAAACAAAACTTTAATGTACCTGTTTGAACTTCAAGTTTAAATTTGATTTGTCCAGTGAGTATTCTCAAAAAAAAAAAAAAACAAAACTTTAATGTACCTGTTAATGGGATGTTTTACCCCCTGAGGTCCACAGAAGTGCAGATCATTAGAGATCTTTCATTATTGGATTGCTTTTGTCTTCTCTAAATAGAATCAGCGAACCATTTCCCAATGTGTATATATGCATTTGCTGTATATTGCATAGGAATGATAGTAAGGATAGATTGACTTCGTGTATGGTCTATTTAATTCGATGTGTCCTGAAGAAAGTACAGTTACTGTAATGTTTGGTGTAACTTGGAGGAAGTATCCAAAAACTCCATACTGTTATCTATTCTGTTTAGATGCTAAAGATTCCAATATCTTACTGCACTGAACAATCTTCATACTGTCTGGTTCTGTGTTCTACAGGATACTGATTAGGTGTGTGTCTTTGAGTCATTGCCACAAAGTAACTTTTCCACAGTTACAGGTTTGGGACATAATTTGTACACAAGTTTTGACCCTTAAATTTAGAGTTTATTTAGAGTGCTGTTTTTCCCCCCACTTAAACGGGAAACATCTTTATTGATAGTTGAGGACAGTTACACATACATATAAAGACAAACACAAGAAAATGAAGTATAGATTTGTAGCCTATGGGCTAATATTTTTCACCCTCATCATCTCCTTCAGCTCTATCTGCCCCAACCTCCTCATGCCATTTTTTTTATCATACTTCATTAGATTAAGAATCAGATGTCTGCCAATGAACTCACTTGCCTTTTTAAATCAATGTTTTAATGCACTAATCTGAATGCTGTAAAAGGAGTTGTCTTAGTTTAACATTTGTGTTTTATGATGGTCTTATATAGCAATTTGCTAGTGAAGTCATTGTTTAATGTGGCAGGCTCTGAAGCCTTTAAATGGGAACAAGTGAAATAGTAACTAAATAATTGTATCCTTGCAAGCAGAATAAAGATGATTTCAGAGATGTCTAATAATTCTCATTCCTGTGGACTCCTTCTGTGGAACCTGGCTTCCCTCACGTTTGCTGCTGAAGGAAGCATGTGCACACTGGTGGAGCATCCTCTACTTTTCTGATCGATGCTTAACATGTTTAATTTTGGAGTATTAAATAGGTCATTTACTAATAAGGAGAAGTTGCTTCACCTCTCAGCAGAAATTTTTTTTTTTTTTTTTTTTTTTTTTTTTTTTTTTGTAAAAGTGACAATTGAAAATGTTTCTGTGAGAGATTGGAACATTGAGGTTTTCTGGTGCCAGAGTCAGACTGATTTCGTGGTTGGAAAGAATTCCTGGAGAATTCATGCAAATGCTGCCATATCAGTGCCACCCCCTCACCCACTGCCAGGTCCCACAAGAGCTTCTCTTCCAGATGTCCCCATAGCATGTGCTGTGTTAAACTATACACTGCCATCTTGTAGCCAAAGGTAAGTTTCAGTGGCATTTACAAACACCTTTGTGCCAAGCTCTCCTTAATAATAAGTCTGTTTTCATGTAGGCCACGCCCATTTACTCCTGTGACCTTCGTAATGAGTGCTCCATAACAGCAGAGCCCTTTCAAAAATCAGGGCATCACCTTAGCCACTTTACCTAAAATTTGATCTTTAGTTGTTGTTTTAGATGGGTCATTGACCAGTGATCTAAGACAGCAATGTTAACTGCTTGTTGTCTTTTAAAAAGCACTAACTTGAGGAAACTTTTGCCAGGTATTTAGAACATAAGTCTTATTTTTGATTGAAAAAAGATTTAAATGCAAAATAGAATAGAATAGCTAAGTGAGAAAACTAAAAGCTTGAGGTTTCCCTCAGGTCAGTTTTAGAATTTCTCTGAAATGTTAAGTCTTTAATCATTTATTTTTTAAATTTTGTTTTACAATCTAACCACAGTTCTCCCTCCACCCCTTCTCCCATCCCCCTTGCTTCCCCCCAAGTCCACCCCCCATCCACTCCTCCCAACTGGGTAAGGCCTTCCATGAGGAGTCGACAAAGTCTGGCAGAAACGTTAAGTCTTAAAAAAATTGTTTGTTGTTGAGAATTTTATATAAACATACAATGAAATATGTCATATTTACCCTCTATTACCTCCTCCAACTCTGCCCATATCCTCTTCAACACATTTCTATCCCAACTTTATCTGTTTTTTTTTGTTATTCCTTTTTAATTTTTTATAGCTCACAAAGTCCAGTTAATGCTGTTTCTATAGGCGTGAGTGTGGAATCTTCTCTGGGAACAAGGAGAGTCTACCCATGACCACATCCACATGAAAAAGATTATCCCCACCCCTAGCAAGTATGAGCTGCCATTGCCTTCTCAGTAAGGGGTGGGGTGTGGCAGTCCACCATCCTGCCTGTGCTGGAAGTTTGACTGGCTTGTTCATGTGTAGGTCTTGTGCTGGTCTTCCCGGCTGCTGAGTTCATGAGTGAGTTCATGGGTGTGGTAGGTGTAGCATGTTCAGAAGAGAGCATTTCACAGCATTCTTTCCCATCCTCCAGCTCTCACACTCTCATGGCATCTTTACACTGGGAAATAAAGTGAGAGGCTTTTGTGACTGACTCTGAATCTTGTTCAGACTGAAGACATTTCCCTACCGAATGCCACGTTGTTCAGTGTTCTCAGACTTGAGAGTGAAATTAACTGGCTTCTTAAATCGAGCGGCAGTCTAATATTAAGTGTTTAGGTTATTTAAATATAATGAGGATATAGTTTTCTTTTGCAAAACCGTTGATAGTAAAAAAACAACTGGGTTCCCTTTGAATATAGTGCAATGTTTTTCAGTGTGGATGGCATCATCTGTTATAGACATGGACACAGACAGGGCCTAGCATAGAACAACAAGCCATGTGCACTGTCTGGAAGAGGCCCTGTGAGCATTCCAAGGACCCCAACAGCATCTGCAGTGGTGACTGCTAACATCTTACCTTGAAGACATCACCCTTAGGCCAGTCATGGTCCTTACTGCTTTGGGTAAAAAATTTTGTATCCAGAATGTTTTAGACATCACCCTTAGGCCAGTCATGGTCCTTACTGCTTTGGGTAAAAAATCTTGTATCCAGATAAAAATACCAATATGTTTATGTAAACCTATAACGAAAACACAGTGACTCTGTTCATGTTTGGCTCATGAAACAGGGGCATGGTTTTAGCAAAAAGAGAAAAGAAGAAGAAAAAAATCACCAAGAATATTTTGGACTTTGTATAGTTTTTGTTTCTTTGTGCAGAGAAGTGAAGATCATGGTGAAAAATAAAAAGTCTCTGCCACATGTAAGAAATAAATTTGATTTTGGCTTTCACTGGACTGTGAGTAAGACTGAGAACTGTCCTCAGTGTTGAGAAGAGCAGTGACTTTTTCTCCAGCCACACACATCCAACACATCAAACACATCCAACAAGATGTGTTTGTTAGGACAGCAGCGTCCACTGTTTCCTTCTCCTTCGCTTTCTTGCTCTTCCCCTGCCCCCGCCACACACTTCCATCCCCACAATAGTTTCTCAATATATACTTGACTTAATTTGGCATTTATTTGGGGTCAGCTTCTTGCCAGGCTACTGTATGTCTGGGCATAAAGATTATGAATATAGTCCTTTCCAAGAGAGCATATGTTTTGACATTTGGCATATAAAAAAGCACTCAGTACAGGGCCTGGGAATACAGCTCAGTTGGTAGATTGCTGATACAGTGTTCACAAAGCCACGGGCTCAATGTTCTGCAGACATAAACCAGTTAGATCTCTGGGAAGTGGAATCATCAGAAGTTCAAGGCCATCTTCTACTGCAGTGTGCAAGGGTGAATTCACTTTGGGACCACTGGACACTTAAACAATTAGCCATGCCACTTTAAGGACTGGCCTGGTCTCTCTTGTTGTTCCTATTTCCCACCCACAAAGGGACTTAATTTCATTTTCTTTCCTCATTTAGAAGACCTCTAGAAAATCAAGTTTTCTAGAAAGAATCAATTTTGACAGTTCATAAAAAGTTGCCAAACGGAGTTATTCTGTCTAAGGTTAGACTCTGAATCTTGAACAGCAATCAGATCCCACATTTGTAAGACAGTCACAGAATTACCGATTCCACTAGAGGGCAGAGCTACATAAGGGAGGAGGAAGCGAGGGGGATTTGGATTGTAGCACAATACCCTCAAACAAATGCATTGCCTATGAGCCTTGCGAAATCCACCACAAAATGTTTTAAACTTAACCTTACCCCACCCTCAGCAGGTTTTTGTTTTGTTTTGTTTTATCTTTAGTGAAAAGGGCATATAAAGAAAATCCTCAACCAGGCAGTAATCTGTACTTGGAATCCTGGCACTTGGGAAGTGAAGGCAGGAAGAACAGGAATTTAGTACTGTGATCCATTGGCCACGTAGAAAGGTCCAAGTCAGGTTGGGCTACCTGTGATCCTGTCTTAAAAACAAACAGAAAGTGGAGGGGGAGGAGAGAGGTAAGGGAGAGTGACAAGAGGAAGAAGAACAAGGAAGAATGAAGACTCACCTAGAAGCTGATGCTAGTGTAGTTTCCTTTAATCCAGACATTGCATCAACATGCTGATTTTAAACCATTGTCTTCATAATCATATTGTGATTGACACACAATGTGACACACACACACACACACACACACACACACACACACACACACAGTTAACCAGTGAACGTTATTACCCAAATAATCCTAATTTTAAACACTAAAATTGAGCTCAATACCTGGCACTGTTGCTTGTGGCAGGGTTTTAAGAAGCTAGCCATTTAATTCCGAAGACTGGGTTCCTGTAGGTCATATAGTGACAGCATTTTTTTTCATGCGAGTGGTAGAAGGCAAAACCAGATTTCCTGTGCAGGCCCTGCATGCACAACACCCCTACTTGTTTTCTAGGGAGTCTTCGAGAACTGAAGCAAGCCTTTAAATAAACTTGAAAGAGCATTAATTCCCACTTGGACCAACCCAAAGTAACAAATTTTTAAGTGTTTACTG